GAGAAATTTACAGCTGACTACTGGGTTATGTAACAATTGTGAGAAATTTACAGCTGACTTCTGGATTGTGTGACAACTGTGTAATTGGGTTGAGTTCCTGTAAATTATATTGTCAATTAATTAATATATAAAAACAAGCATTTAAAACTTAATGGATACATATGCATATGGAAATAAAGTGCTTAGATTGTTACTTCTCACTGATAATGTATTACTCTACTTTTAAACAGTACAATAAACTAATCTTATAATAAAGAAAAACCCATCATTCAACAAATAATATAACCAAATTTCACTGACAAGTTATGTTTCTGTTTAATCAAAAAAAAATATTAGTGTAACCCGTATTCAACCAGCAAAGTTAATGCATAACCAGATATCATGATTATAATACATGTTAACATTCCATAGACATGCCTGTTGTTTCAAATCAAATCTTAAATGTTTACCTACATTTTATGTGACCAACCAAAATATAAAGGATTTCTATAGTCACCCCTTCTTTATCATCCATTTTATAGTTGTTAGCCCATGCTTAATTCACACTTTTTTCTGATACTCCTAATAAAGTCATACATACCACATAAGGAAACAAAACCCCAAGTGATCATAATGAAAATTTATTGTAATGTCGTAGTAAATCAAAGCTTACAGCTAAAGACTTGAACCTGAGTTTAACTACGAAATTTGTACAAATAACATTAACTAAAACTCGTATTCAAGTTTAATGGTAAAAAAGAAAGAATGTCTGAAAAAACATCTTCTGATTGAAGAGAATTATCACATTTCCAACTAATGAGTTAGTGATCAATATTAACAATGAAGCTCGGGTAAAAAGTGTTGATGACGACTTCCAACTAAAGACTAAGAAAACAAAAACTTATCCCCCTTACAATAGTTTAACTTTTTTAACCCTAATAAAAATTCAAAGGTTTGTACTTAACACTTGGATATTTTATTTTTAAGTTATTTTGTAAGACTTTTGCTCCAGTTGAGAACATGGCCATCTTTCCACAGTACATAAGCTGCCACTTCTGTTCCAAATTAAACACTGAATTCGTACAATGTCACAACTAAGGTGAAAATTTTTCACAGGAAATCACTCAAAGAATAAGTAAAAATGTGAGTCAATTTTACTATGCAGTGAATTCTGTCCCTAGTTCAATAAATGGAATAGGCTTATGCATGCAGGATATAGATGAAATAATGCATCATCACCTGTAAGTATTTACGTGTAAGTTCAGGCTTTAAACAGTGTCATAATTTTCACATGTAGCCTTTGGATCAAATATTATTTGCCATCATTAGCTTCACACAAGCTTGGGCTCCGAACATTGTGTTATTATCTTCACTATTAAAATATATATTAAATGTAAACTTGGGCTTCAATCATTATATTACTATCACTATTAACTTCACTGGACAGCTACATGTATTGAGATTCAAACATCACACATGAAACTTTATTTTTCCTTACAATATATGTATTTGGGCTATAAGATGTCATCAGTAACAGTTTCAATACTCTTCATACTTTAAAACAGTTACACTGCAATAAATAGATGCATAAAATATGTGCATATGTTTACATATAAATTATTTTAAGTTATTTTCTTTCCAAAAAACTTTTTCTTATCTCAAACATGATACATTTTTTTGCCTAAAGATAAAATCAGAAACGACTTCTCTCATTGGCAGCCTTCAAAGCTTAAGTACCACGTGATTAACAAATCGATTCAGTTTTCTTACAGGGATTCTCCTTTTGGACAATTAGCTTGGGGTAGTTTTCTCAAAAGGCAAAGAAAGACAGTTGTAAATTTTATGTACAATAAAAACATTTTTAAAAATTTAATTATACTTAATATTATTTGAAAAAAAACTTTTAAAGTTACTAAATTCAGTACATAGATTTATTAAAATGTATTTTTTATCTGAAATAAGTCTATTTATGTATGAGTGTTCAGAATTATCTGGAAAATACTTTCGCATTATAAAATAGGATCTAGAAGATAAAGTATTTATAAGATGATAAAAATGAGTCTAAACGACTGCTGTCATTAATCATAAGAAAAGAAATATGTGACCAGTGGTCAGGATCTGTGGACCAAAAGGGGTCAGTGAGATAATCTCAGGGTAGCCTTGGCAATTGTCAAGTGTCCCTCACGCTGGACGACAATATTTTAAGCAAGAAGATTATTCATTATGATAAATATGACTACAATACATTGTTTATGCTCGATGTTTTGTTTTTTTTGAAAGAACAAATTGTAATCCAAGTAAGGTACTTTGGCTATTTTGTAACATTTCTATTAAATCATCAGGTAGGTCCAAGATGTCTTCAAGCTAAAAAATGTTTGGGAAACCCAGCTCTAGCCTACAACTTTTAACTGTTGTCACTGTTCATAAGTAAATAACAAAAAAGATGTGATCAACAAATTACTTACATCTTATAAACATATACTGATCCTTCTTTGTTCCTTTAGTCTGTAACTTCTGATTAATTGTTGCCATCATACATCAGAAAGAAGATGTGTGATAAAAAAAAAAATCTGTAGCTTATACAGAACGTTTTTAGTAAAATAAATTTTTAAATGTGAAAAATCTGAATTTTTTTGTACCCTGAATTTAATTTCAGGAGCAAAACAAGATCTAAAATATTAGAAATACTCTCAGATCTTATTTAGCCAGCTCTATATCATAATGTCATGTTTTCTCAGCAAAGTATCACACCACATAGATATATATTTGTATACATATATAACACAGAAGTTAAACTTTTCTAAAAGACTTCACGAAGCTAAAAATGTGGGTGAAAATACACTATTACACACATTATTTTTCCTGGAATTTCAACTAGATATAGTGTGGTGTGATGGTTGTAGATTGCTAGGCTAAATTATTAGGCTTAGACATGACAAGGCAACCTCACTCTCACGTCTTTTTAAAAGTCTAAAGTAACTTGAATTCATTTGTTTTTATTTTTATTATTCATGCATTTGATCAAAAACATTCCTTCCTTCTGTGCAAGATGACATCACCTACTGTTGCCACATCCCTACCTACGACCATAGTTATATCAGGCATTAAAATAAGTCACAGTTATGGATTCTATATATATAAAACAAGTACAGTCAGCTCCATTTTACATATGATTTTCATATGCCAAGTACACACAACTGTAGCTGCAGACATAACTGCCCATAATTAAAACTGTCCATTTGAAACCCACCTAATTAAAAATATTATACACTGGAGAAAATAATTTTCTTTAAAAAAAAGATAGTAAAATATAAATGTTCTTTAGTAACTTTCTAAAAATAAATGATATTTCCGAAACAAATGTAGAAAAACCAATACTTACACTAAAAATGTAATTAATTACACAACATTACAGCTTTTGATGTAAATCTTGCAATCTTACAGCCACTGTCACTTTCACAAAACAGAAATAAACACTCTTAACCTGGAAGACAAATAAGGAAATAAATTATAATTATAAATAAATATTCATTAAGATTTTAGCAATGAATGTTTTATTATTTAGTTAGTGGAAATTGTTGGCTAATTTTCATCAGTATTCAGTTACCTTACCTCTTTTCCTTGTATTTCCTTCAATCAGATACAGTCACATACCATCACTCACCATCCTAAAGCTTCTTGAATACATATACATCCTTATTGGAAAGAATCTACCTTTTAAGTAAGAGAAGCTCTACAAAATTAAGAGGCAAAACTTCAGAAATACTTGCGAGGCTGCACATTTGAAATACATCCCATGCTTATTGTTGCATACTTGGTTCCAACAGCTTTAATTGATGGTTGTACAAGACCTTCTTGGTTACTTGCAACCTGTTTATCAGAAATAAACTGCTCTTCTTCCTTTAAAGGTAGGGTAGCTGTGGTCCCATAGAAGACTGAATTGGCCAGATGAAACTCCTGTTGTAAAGCAGTTGGATACCTCACACCTAAGGGCACTTTTTCAAGAGAAGCAATCATGGATTGATCAATCTCAGCATAAAAAGAAGAATTTCCTGTAGTCATCACTGGTTTTTCAAGTTCCTTTGGATTATCACAAGGAAGTTCTGTCTCTTGAAGTTTCTGATGGGTGTAGCAGGAAGGACACAGGTAACTTGTCGCTACCGAGCTATAGGACATGCAGCCAGCATTAATACAATGAACATGATGAATGGTGTTCTGATCTTTTTCCTCATCACATCCTTCTTTCTGCTCCATCTCGTGCAGAAACCGAGCTCTTGCAGAATTCAGGTAGTTGCGAATCATTTCTTCCTGATATTCATGTCTTTTATCTATGTGAAGTACTGCTGCTATCACAGTGTTAGTATTTCCAACAAAGTTACCACCAGAGGGTTGAGTGTCACAGATGGCACTCCTGTTCTTGTCTAAACTGGAAGTTTTACTGAATGATCCAGTTTCTCCTTTAAAAGAATTACTTCTACGAGCAATGTTGCCAAAGTTTTTTTTTAGTTTTTTGCCCATGCTCTTTCCTATGCTACCAAACTGTTTGGCTACAGTCTGAAGTTGTTTAGCCGCTTTGTTTTTATGGAAGAGTATCACATCACCAACAGTATCAGCGTGGTAATCTCCTCCCCTCAGAGTCTCAAGTCCATTCTCAAATGCTGCTTCATCTTCAACCATCTGAGCAATACCATCTCTGTTTACACATGGGATAGGAATCTCGGTGATGTCCAGATATTCCTTTAGTAACCCTAGCTTATCTCTCTCTGTTAATGTCAGCTTAGCCATGATCCAGGAATCGTTTTCATCATTTCCCCATCGAACTTCATTACCAGGATCTACAGCAAACTGGATTGGAAGTAGCCTGTGGTCAGGATCAATCAATGGAATAGCAGCTGAAACAAACAAGAAAACCTCTTTAAAACTATATCTCATATTGATCGACATTTTTAATCAAAACCTTCCACTTTTTTCTTTTGAAAACCAAAAATATGAATAAAAAATATTTTACTAAATAAATAACAGTTTGAGGTAAGTTTCAAATGTGTTTTAACAAAACTCGTCAAATAAGAATAAACAACAATTCCAAGTGAGATGAAAGTTTAAACTTAATTGAGATAGATCTTTAAATTTACATATAATACATCTGTACCCATCACTTACAGTATCTAATCTAAATGTTCTGATTAGCAGCTTTACTAGTTAAAATACCATTATCTGTTGAAAATTACCTGCAATATTTCTTCACTGGAGTAAACCATACTTTTGAGTCTGCTGTTATCGGACTCAAACTAAGTTATCATTAGGCTAGTTCAAGATGAACAAAATCTTTATACGAATTAATATTAATAGTGTTTAGCAGTGTTCATTCTGAAAACAATGCTAATCATTATGTTTAGTGACTGTGAAACTGTAGTGTTACTAGTTAATTATTTTCAAAGAACATATTAACAATTAACATCAGTGTAATTTACAACATTTGTGCTATACATTGGTTTAAGAATGAATTTCACATTTAATTCTTAGTATTATTATAATTAACAGTACTAAACTTACATCACTTTTGTAATAAACATTATGGTAAAAACACTGTTTACAATAACAAACATAATAGTTCATCCATTACTCATTTGTACATTCTTATGATTTTTACTTTGTTATACTTATTTTTTCTGGTTTTACAGCACTGAAATGAAGTTTACGGGATTTTCCAGGCCCAAGATAGCAAAATTATATATTTCTACCCTTTCCCAGACCCATGAGAATCATACAGATGTGTCTACACAACTCAATGTTTAATAATTCCATACTTTCTTATTGCCCACCTTGCATGTTCAGTAAAATATTTAAAGATTCTTTATTAACATAATGATTTTCAAACAAGACCTAAAACTAGAGCACTTTCAAAGACTTCTGAAAAAGAATAGTGAACTGTTAGAAAGTGCTAGAGTTTTGGGTCTCATTACAACTTTTGTATGTAATCCTATGTGCTAACTTCTTAACCAGAATCTTGATTAGGATAATTAGCAACGGTAATGACAGCATCCAGATGATTGTTTGGCTGCTCTCACTTTCCAAAGAATAGTAGTTTCCCACCCTTTCAGTACAAAAAAAACCTTTCTTTAAAGCATGTGTGTCATTGTATTCAGATTTCTGAACAGGACACATGAAATACAATGCACTTCAGAAATTTCTGATCAGGTTCCTTTGGTTCAGAAAGACCATACTGAAAAAGCAACCCCTGGGACTTATAATTAATTATATTTGTTATAAGACATTAGTGTTAGGCTTTTTTATTTTAATACGACACTCTTTATTCAGTGTTAATAAAAATATAATAAGCATAACACAAATGTCTAAGCACTGTTTGTGAAGTAGTCATCAAACTAGCAATTACAAACCAAACCCTCCATTTTGGTTCTTGTATACTTTTTTTTGTGGTATTCACTGAGCCAGAGAAATATTTGCAGCAATAACACAGTTGTTATTTCACGTTCGCTTAGCTGCCAAAGCTTGGAAAAAAAAAAACAACAACAGAATATTTTACCACTTATTGAGAGCTATAGATATGATTATTACAGCTCACTAAACAATTCTCACTGAACATAACTTATAAACTCTATGTGCCTCTCTTCTTCTTACTATAATGGTTGTTGCATGTATATATGTATCTATGTATGTGACCAAAATAATAAATACAATCTATTGAATGGCACCACAAACAAAAATCCATAAAAATATTTCCCATTTGGGGTATTCAAGATTCAAACAGAAAAATAACTACGTTATGTGCAACAACCATTTCTTTATCACAGAACACAATTTGAAATAAAAGTACTCTTTTCATAAGAAGAACATGACTTTCACTACGATTGTACGTGAGGGTTTGATTATATCTTTATTGATGTAATTTGTAAATATAGTACAAAAAATGGGGTTCTTAAAAAATATTATTTTTTCAAGAAAAGGTACCACTTTTAACAAATAAAAACTTTACAGTTTATATCAGCACAATCCAAACACTTTTCTCATGTAGAACGTTCCAGAAAAATCATTTTTTTTTTAGAAAATGTAATTTTTTTCAATTAGGTATGAATACTATAATTAGAATTTGTTACCACAAACAGCCACCTATAGGACAGCATTTTTGCTAGCATTTATAATTTCAACAAATGTTCTCCAAAAACTTAGAGCACTTGGTTTTAACAATATCTAAATTTCTAGATACTTATTACATTTCAAAAATATAGGATGTAAATAGTACAGGCAACATTACTAACATACCAGGACAAAAACTTAAACACTAGCCTCCTAAAGTCACATCAAAAATATAGGATGTAAATAGTACAGGCAACATTACTAACATACCAGGACACAAAACTTAAACACTAGCCTCTTAAAGTCACATCAAAAATATAGCATGTAAATAGTACAGGCAACATTACTAACATACCAGGACACAAAACTTAAACACTAGCCTCCTAAAGTCACATCAAAAATATAGCATGTAAATAGTACAGGCAACATTACTAACATACCAGGACACAAAACTTAAACACTAGCCTCCTAAAGTCACATCAAAAATATAGCATGTAAATAGTACAGGCAACATTACTAACATACCAGGA